TAAAATATTATATTAAACAAAAATATCTGTAGTTCAACTACATTTATAGTGTAAATTAAATGAGATATTAAAAATGTTTATTTTACTTCTTTTTCTAACAAGAACGTTCTGTGTGTCTTTATTATATATCGCAAATACACACATTGTGATATGTTCTTGATATTTTAGATCTAATTTTAGTATAAAGAAATTTATCTCCAACAAAGGTCTCCATAGCCATTCCTATCTGATCCTTGATGATGAGTAACTCACGTAATTAACTGTCGCAATTAACGTATGATTAATTATAACTCTCACGCTTGTTTAAATTATATCGAAACAATAGCTATATTTACACAAAATACAAATCTAGAAAATAAATAATCGTGCTAACCATTTTAATTTGTCGCGTTATTATTTTTCTTTGAAAGCACAGTTATTTTATATAAAATATTTTGTGTCTTATTTTTCTCAAAGTTCTTGTTAACTCTGAACGATACACGACATCGTGACTATAATCAGTTTAAACTTTTGTCATCGTATTATATAATACCGCACCTCGTGTCGCATAATTTATATCAAAGTTTGAAATTAATTTTTGACAAAATTATGGATAAATTTTGGTCTTTAACAGAAAAAAAGTAAAATTATTATTAAAATATGTATTTATTACAGTAGTTTTCATTAGGTTTGTGCTCGTTAAAATTTTGGTTTATATGTGATGACATAAATGTGATAGTAGAATAAATGAAATTACTATAAGAAGCTTTTTCAGTTTGGTAAAAGATATTCAGATAACAAACCAATTACGCTCGAGAATGGGCTATGACTTCTGTTTCTCTTTTTTTAAATTCGAGGCTGAAGTATATGTATATATACATAAGCCAATCGATTTAACGACATTGACCGGGTTTTTGCAAATATTTGAAAAGCTTTTAATAGCATTATCTTTGAACGTACAATATACAAAGTAAGCGTGTTTCCATATGCATTTCTTCCTATATTTGCGAATACAGTAGATATATAATTTTAATCGAGTTTCGAGAACGGCAAGTTTGATAAATTGATATTCTTTTGTAACAGGAAATTTCTTTGTTAAGGATATGTTATAGTAGCGGTATAATATTTAAAATATATTTTTTCAAAATTTCTTTACGTTATAATTCGCGCAAAATAAAAGAAATTGACATAAAGATAAACGCAATTAATAAAAAGACACAGATGTTTAAACTTATTTGATTTACTATTCGCATATATCTCGGACTATTGCTTTAATGTATAGTATATTATTTAAAAAAGAATAAGTATGAAAAATATTAACTTTAACTATACATTTGAATTTAATTCCTTATATTCCTTTATTATAATACCTTACATCTATTGATGAAAATAATTGTATATGTGTGTGTGTATGTCTTTTTTTTTGCAAAATGCACTTTGCACGATGTCGTTGAATATTGCGTCTATTAGCGTATCCAGGAGATTAACTACTAACCTAATGGACACTAAAGAAATTAATTAATAGCAAAGTGGAACGTCGATCGTTGATGGTGACCATCAGCGATGTTCTTGCGATGAACGAACGAATAAATGAACGAATGAGCAAGTTTCCTCGATCCTGGGGGATCGAACGATCAGCACACGTTAATTAATTTCCGGCCTAACGAAGTCCTCGCCAGTCCGCAAATTCGTCGTCGTGGAATACATCGTAGACGTACGACAGGTAATTTTCGGTAATGATTCGATTCTACGAAGGACATCGAATACGAGGGAAATACAGGAAGTTCGGTTAAGCAATATAATCCAATTTCGCGACTTTCATCGAACACTGCACTCACGATTTTTCATCGGTTTTATCAATGTCGGTTAACTACGCTGAAAGCTAATAATAACATTGTCTTTGAGATAATTAATAAAAGAGAGACGTGATTTATAGAGATTAGCACTTTAAAAGTCAATCAATTATGAAAAATTTATATAACTTGCGACGAATTAATTTTAAATACTTATACATTTTTTTTTAACAGATACGTATTAACATGTATATACATATATTTAACATTGTTTTGTTGTCAAGTGATATCTTAAAATAGACGGATAATGTTGAACAGCAAGCTATACAATATATTAAAATAAAAAAGATACTAACTAATTTAATTATTTATTTATTGAATGATGTAATATCACAAACTGAATTGAGAGAGCTTAGAATTAATTAACTAATGTGCAATTCATCCATTTATGATTGCTATTTCACGAAGAGTATATCTTATCAATATCAAATTTTATTTTTAATTAATTTTATGTTAATTTAAAGCAATTGACTTTGTGTCGTGCCAATTGGCGAAAACAATGTTGAAAACTGAAAATAATTATCATCGTGGGCGCGTGCACGAATGAATAAAATTTACATTCCAGTCTTCATACGCAACCTTCCAAAATAGTTCCAAATGGTTCCGAACACATGAGGTATCAATTTATTATAATGGTCAGTATATTAATGATCAATATAATACCGAAATGCAATCAATCTTCGAGCAATTATAATTGTGGTGAATCCTATTAAAGTTATATAATTTAAGTGGTATAATTATATGATTAGTAGTGATATTATAATTATTTAATATTTATTATTCTAGCTGTCAAATGTTGTAAAATAATACAACATTTGATACAACAGGATTTGTGTTCGTTTTATATATCAAGGTAACATTAACCAAAATATTTATATCGAAAATAAATACTTTATTATTGGTACTAACTGCCTACTGAAAAAAATATTGAAATAGATTTATATTAGGAGAAACAGACATTTTAATAGAATATCACAGAAAATAATAGATATATATATATCTCCATGACCGTGAATACTTTCATATATTTCTAATTTATGCGATACCCTCATGAATCGCGCAATTCCTTTCGTGTAATTTCGCCGAGTAATCATGATTTATACTCTTTACGCACACACTCTCGCACAGAGTATACCGATATGGTGTAGCACGCACAACGCTGAGAACAAAGCCGCCATCACGTTAAAGTCATTAATATCACTTTATCCTTTCATTGCCGTGGCGCCGGAAAATGATAAATCCTACATCTCGGGATTCGTGGCTTGGATAGTCGTATCTGACTATTCGACATTTTATGTACATTTTTCTGTTCAATGCTCTAATTCGATCTTTTTTGAAATTTAGATGATTAGATCGCGATAGACTAAAAACAATGTAATATCATACATGCTCATGAAAATCAACAACACGAAATTCTTAATTTCATTTGTTTATTTTAATCTATGATTAAATCATACAGATTGATCTGATCTGATTAATCGATGAAAAAATTAGCCTTTTGTAAAAAAAATTGAGATAAATAAAAGCTAATTTATTTCGAATTACATATATCATAACAGTTTATCTTTAGATCTCATCTTAGATTAATTTTTATAAGAATTGTATTTTTTTTCAATATAAATATTTATTTAAACGAAAAGCTAGATTTTATAAAGATTTTTCTGAGGAATTTCTAGATATATAAGCGTCTAATGTATGGATAAAATATAAATATAATATTAAAAATATATGTATGTATAAGAAGAAAATGCATTATGAGATTGACATTTAGTGTCAATAAAAATAATAAAAAAATAATTAAAGTTGACAGCAAACATTTACGCCACTGACAAATATAAATAAATCAATCAATTTTGTTCTACAGTTGATGTAGAATGAGTCTGCAGTTTCTTTCTCATCGAATAAATAAAAGAGCTTAGTAAATTTCAACTATAAATATTTGCATCCTAAATATTTTGAAAATAACTTGAATATAAAATATATGGAATACAAAAATATTGAAAACAGAAAAAAACTAATAAATATTGTATAAATGTCCAACAGAATTTTACGAATATTTTTATTATTGTATTCTCTCTCTCTCTCTCTCTCTCTCTCTCTCTCTCTCTCTCTCTCTCGATTAACATCTTTTTCCTGATATTTCAGACGGACCAAGATTTATATATATATTTTTCAACTCGAAATCCGTCCGTTTTTACAATTTAAATTCATTTCTTTTATTTCAGGACATAGCTATTTATTTGGAGAATGTATTATTCACTAGAATTTCTAATCAAATTTTTTTACCATATTACAGAATTGATGTTCTTAACATCCATTACATGTGTTAGATAGATTTATGTATACATACAATACAAAAATTACTTATTTTGTTTTCACAATATAATAAAACAGATATCAAATTTATTTTATATATTTCAGCATAATGATTTATTCAAATAAATTGTGTATCAATATTCGGTCATGTGTGTGTTTGTGGCTTGCTAATTTTATAAAATATTATAAAGTTGCCAATCTCTCATACAACTTTATTGTTAAATACAAAATCTGAGGACTTTATCTCGAAACATTTTCATAGCCAGCATAAAAGCTTTTAATGAGATTAATCAGTCACGACGAGAGAAATGCGCATTAGCTAGGCATTAACAGGGCAAATAAGCATGCCATATTTAGTATGACAAAATATCCAGCAGCGTAAACAGTCTACAGTCTACATTTTTCAAAAATTTCTCTAACATTTACTCTTACATTTTTCATACCACATTTAATTCTTAAAGACAAACACGTGTGAATATATAAAAAATCTCTATACATTTAATTAACTTTACTTTTATATTCTAAAATTAAAATAAATTAATTTAAGAAATATAACTGAATTAAAGTATTATAGATACACTGTTTAAAATAATAAGTTTAATTATATTAATTTTCACTTGTAGACGTATGGTGGACTTTCTGAGACATGCAAGAATGTTCAAATTAACATTTTTGTAAATAAAAAAAAATTTTAATTTTAACATTCTTGCATGTCTCAAAAGTCCACTCACTATACATCTTTAAATTAAAATTAATATTTTACTTTTAAGGTTGCAAATAAATTGAAAACGATTTGATTGTACATGTATGTATATGTATATATATGTACATATATAAAAGAGTGAGACTCACCGATGGTCGTTATTACGGTAAGGGAATACAGAAAAGCACCGGCAAAAGTCCACTTAGTTTCTCTCATACCATTGTACCCATCTTTTATGGCTGATACTATCGTTGTTTGGTAATTCTTCAGAATGTCTCTTACTTTTTCCTTCCAAAGTTTTTCCGAAAACACATTTTCCTATAAGCAATATAAACAATGTCAAAATGTAAAAAAAAAAAGAAATATCGACATTATTAATAATAACATTCAATTAGTAAAGCAATGAAATCTAAACATGTGTGAAAAAATAGGTGGTTAATAAAACTTGCAAAAGATAAAATCTGTATACATCTACGTGTATGTTCTGGCGATATCATTCGATTCTGTTACTGCAAGAAATTATATCATGTAGCTCGATTCACGTAAATTTTTCACCTTAGAAGTAAGCTCCCAAAGAGTGGCGGCCGTCGAATTTCTTAGCTTGATAACGTCGCTGGTGACATCCAACCTGGTTTTACCCTCGATGTGGATGAATAGGAAGGCGCCGGCTATAGTGTAGCCCACTACTAGACACACGATGCCGACGTTACTGAAGAGGAATGCTATCAGCGTCCTGATCCAGTCGGCGATCCGCTCACCCCATGGCTTCCGTTTGCGTTTCCTCCGTCTTCCGCTCCGACCGCGATAACTTCCGCGCTGCCAACTCCTACTGGCTGAAGAACGGGACGTCCTATCCGTTTCCATCGACGATGACGGCTTCTCAGTGTCACCTCGATCGTATCACTTCCAGCGGATTCGCGAACATCACGCTTCCGTATCGCCGAATTTTCACTGAGTTCTCTTTCCGTTGTTTACGATATATTACTACGTGGGGGATATCCTTTCGCGAGCGACTAATCACGCGGAACGGTCACTTTAAATCTCTGATTCTTTGTTCCTTAATAATTGACGACTATAAAATGCCTATCGCAAGAAACCACCAAGTCACCACAAGAATTCACATTATTGCTCGAAAACCGCAGTCAAGTAATTGGCTCTCTCTTCGTTCCATTTAATTTCCATTAACATTATTTTACGATCGAAAGCCAGAGAAATCTCGTTCATTAATTTAGAATCTAATTGTCAGGAAATACGCGAGTCATTCACGCGTTGTATGTAAGATTTCTTCTTAAATTAATTTAGTTGGCTCCTTATCAGTCGATACAAAGATTAAGATGCTGACACTGAATTATGATAATTATGACCGTGACTGTAATTTGTTTTTTTAACTTTCAATTTTTCAATTTTTCACAAAAATGCATATATCAATTAATATTATTTAATTAATTTTTTTAAAATCAAAATTGATGGATTGTATATATTTAATTATTACGATTGATTATTGCGATAGCTTTATCAGCAAACAAAGCTTGTTGGCAAGGCACGTGTATGTCTGTTATAATGATTTGATACAGAAGAATGCAGCGCGCGTACGAGGAGACATACAAGAAGATCGCGAACTCTTATCTGCTAGCACTGATAGAGGCTAATGGAAAATTACGTTCGGCAAATTTAATGGGAAATGTCCGATCTTCGAGTCCCTTTTACTTCAGCGACAGTTGATTCTTGGAGTCTGGTATCGACTCGATCGTGGTCCACGGGGAATCGAAAACACGACGTTGTCTTCGCAATTGCGGTAGAGATGAGCTACTTGGCTGCTTAACAAAATCTATTGTAAAACTGTTTACGATCCCGCGAAAAATGATCGACATTTCCCCGAGGGCGTCGACGTAGAATGTAATAATCTGACTTTAATTAAATTCCTCCAATTTTCCTTTAATAAACTTATCACAAACTGAAAATAAATCAACGAAACAAGATTTACACATTGTCCAAGTTTCTATGTTTTAATACACAATTAATGTAAAATGTTTTACTATCGCGATTCTATAAATTTTTGACAAAATATTCTACTTTAATGTTTGAATCAAACTCTACCTCAAATTACGGAGATGGTTCATTATTAGGAAATGTTAATAATAAAATATAAGAAAAATTCACACCGGTCTATTTGCAAAAATTAATATGCAATATTAAAATCTGTTTTTTATTTTGCTACTGTCTCAATATCAGAGAGGCGAAATATTCCTGAATATTTATTTTCAAAATCTTTTATAATATAATTAATCGCAGTGCTGGTATCGATCAAAACTACCAATTGGCAATTTCAGTTTTTCTACATAGACAATAATCATGGATAAGATCGATAGTAAGATCGTATGGAAGCAGAATCAATTCTTGGAACCAAATCTGGGAATCAACATTTACCTCGTATCTCTCGTGCGCTATATCCATTAAGACAGGATTTCTGCGTTTAATTCTCGTTGCGAAAGCTATATATACATTATATATGCATATACTAATATATTAACTACTTAGATGATTATAAGATACCGCCACCACGTGTTGGAAAGACGCTTTACTTATTAATTTACAATTTTCGTTTCTTCTTATAAATCATTTTTTCTGAGAGCTTTATTGATATTTTCGTGATTAATTGAAAAAAGTTCGTGGCTTTTCGCGAAAACGTTGCACCTCAATTCCTCAAAATAATACAGTACGCGCACTATTAATTGTTTCGTTTTCGGCATCTGACCGATACTCTCGTTACATCATTATTACGCGTGTATACGTACACGTTGCAACGAGCAATTGATTTTCGAGCGATGACGTTGCATTGTGCACTAGGCTTTCGCGAAAAGATCCATGTTTGGCGATAATCGAGATGGAGTCTGAGCTCTAATTGCTGATACACAAACATACGGAGAGCAACCCATCTCGACCAAGTTTCTCCGAAAACTGATTTCTCCGTGGCACCCCGCGTCACGACATACACTATATCCCAAAATAGCGCGTCGCCGAAAATAACTGAGTTCAAGTCGCCTGGGTCTGGTCGTGCAGCCGGTCGAATTGTCAGACTTGTCGGACACCCGGTATAGACAAACCTGTTTCGATGATCCAGTTATGAACAAAATGTTAAAATTAAAAAAATGTTAAAATCTAGAAAAACAAATAAAATCTAAACAAAAATACATTTAGAGTAAAAGTTTTTTTTTAACGATATCTTTTCTAATTTAAAAGATGAATTAACAATATATCGTTTGATCAATCATTCACTGGTACATATGTATATTATATTTAGGCAAAAACATTAAATTTTTTAATAGAGAATAATTTTGTGATGCTAAGGGAATACGAAAGAGATCGAAGGAGAGAGAGAGAGAGAGAGAGAGAGAGAGAGAGGGACACGTCATTTCAGTCGGCTTTAAAATTTATGAAATGCAGATTTCGCCTGTGGCAGGATTGTTCATTCGTAATGGACGAAAGTTTTTAACGACTATTATTTCTTCTTTGAGTGGACTTTATCGCGTGATTATCGAGTCGTTGAAACCGGAACCGTTAACTGGATACCGTCGCCGCCGCCATCGCCGTCGTCGAGACGATTAACGTCCTCGCGATTTAAACGACGAAATGCAACTGCGAGCATAGTAGCGAAAATGTAGGAGAACGTACATGTATGGATCGCAAAGAGGATGAAAGGGATTTGCATAGCAAGCGTGAATTTTGCATGCGGCAAGTGCGTCCGGGAAAATATTGTAAGAACAATTTTCTGCGCGCAGAAGGTATAGTAAGCCGTACAAAAATATCGTGCCCGTTGGAAGATAATCGTATTCTCGCGTCGCATGCGTTCGAAGAAAATTTAAAAGACTGCTGGAACGTTAAGACTATTTCATGGAAATGTAATGTTTCAGATTTTTAGCTGTTTTCTGAGCAAATTAAATGAATGAGTTAAATGAAACGAGACGTTGCGCTCTTGCTTCTGCCTTTGTGTGCGTGTGTGTGTCGCGCCTTTTTTTTACAAAAGAAAAAAGAGTGTATAGAAATAAATCGAAATTTTTATAAATAATGTACGTTAAATAAATACATATCTTAACAATTTTTACTAAATTTATAATTAGATTACTTTATTAATATATAATAAAAAGTAATAATAATTTTTGGAATAATACTTCAGTAGATATTGTGAATAATGAAAAGATCTTCGAAAGCTTTAATAAGGCCTAAAGAATTAAAATTTTAGTAATAATAATACCTATGATAGATATACGATATTTTAATAATTGGAGTATCTATATAAATCGAAAAAGATAAATGGTGTTTTTAAATTAATCTAATTGCATATACATTTGTGTTTACTCTGGACTTGCACAAAAAGAGCTAGATTATTTGATTGAAAACTATCGATCCACGAGAAATCAAATCTATCTATGTCACGAAATTGACACATATCGATCTAGATATGAACCGAGAAACACCTTGAATCTTGTACTACGTATATGAAGATGGATGACTCGCGTCCTCGATCTTGTCGAATAGTAAGCTGAAAACCACGAAATCATAGCTTGGGCTCGTTTTCATAGACCTCATCTTCATACTCGGCGTCATATTCGTCGTAGTCCTCGGCTTCCTCCTCCTCTTTTTCTTCATCGTCGCTCTCTTTGATGATACCGAGCCTCTTTGCGACACTCTTCACGTTGTTGATGACTTCCTCTTGCACTAGATTAAAGCTCATTGCCAGCAAGGCAATTCCAAATAGCAGGTAGAGAGAACAAAGGGCGATGCCCTTCTGCGCGTCCAACGCTGGCACATAGTCGCCAAAACCTTTAAATAGAAAACATAAGAAATTTTGCCAGTTTTATATCATAGCGTTCAAAACAAATGTAAAATTAATCAATAGATAGAGATAAAAATAAAAATAGAGCCTATAAAACCTTCAGAAGAGATATAGGTATTATACATGTATTGTATGTTTTTTGTGAAATGTTTCGAATAAATACATCATTTTAATAAAATTTATCAAGACTGTTAGTTTCTAAGATTGAGTTAAAATAGTATAAAAGACAAAAATATTTTTTTTTTTAAATATAGGCTCATAAATTTGCTATATTGCTCGTTTCAATGATCTTCAGAAAATAATAATCAATGGCGATATATATCTCTTGTTGAACGGTGAAAAAGGAATGCATAATTGGTAAACAAACCGATGGTGGTCAACGTGATGAAACAGAAGTAAGCCGAGTCAAGGAACGACCAACCTTCCCATCGGTTGAAGAGAACAGCGCCACCAAGTATGTAACTGACGACCAGAAAGACACACAGCCAAATAGGCACCGGCTTGGTCGGTTGTCTTTCCTGATCATCAGCAGAGTTATAGTCGTAGTCAAAATCAATATCATCAGCGTAAACCTGTCGATGAACGGCAAATCCCATCGGTGACATAATTCTCGGCGACGGCGGCGGTCCCCGTTTATAAGAACGCGCTAGAGAAAGATATTTGACCAATTTAATGATGTTATCAGAAAATACGCGCACACACGTGATTGATCAGTTTATTATTTCAGTTGTTAACCGTAACATAGTTTGCAAGTACAATGTAAGAATTTTGAATAATTTAGATATGCTCGGTATAATTAGAAATATTATATACTTATTCAATATAAGTCAGATATAGAAATACATAAGTTGCTAACAGAGTCTATGCTTCATACAAATATCATTTTTATCCTGAAAATTTAACTCTCTCGTTTAGATGTCAATACTCATTTATACATATAAGTCATTTAGAAATAATTCAGTCGCTTCTCAAATTTTCATCAAAATAGATAATCGATTATTTCAATTGATCTGTCACTGAAATTCTATATATTTATATCGTCATTTATTTACCGACGGAATAATTGCTTCTAGTGCGTCTACTTTTGGTGGACTGCGATCTTTTCATATATTCCATTTCCAAATAGATCGAAGCTGGCCGATGTCCTGAAGATGAACTCGTTCTATTCGTCGCTGTAGCTCCTTCTACAGAAAGACATCTTCTCGGTAAAGATCTGGCACTAAACGAAGTTCGCTTTTCAACGCCATCCAACTCTTCAGCCATTTCTAAGCTTTGCGGTTTCTCTGAGTTCTCGACTGTAATAGCGTCGGTTTTATTTAATTTCTTTAAATGTTTCAAAGAGCACGATGTCTTTCAT